TACTCTAGCTGATAATTTATACAGCTCTGAATTATCCCACCAAAGTTTCGTTATCTCTAACACACTTTTAATTCAAGTAATGAATCTCTTCAATCACCCAAAAGTAATGTTGTTCAACAACAATCTAACCTAGTATTCTTTCTCAAGCAACACAAGGCAATTAGACACAATTAATCAAGGCCCCATTCAATTAATCACCATACAAAACATAGTTGAACAATCATATAATAAACCCGACTCGATTTATAACAAAATTGAGTCAAAACTTCATCTAACAATTGGTTCCATCAACCCTATATTAAATGTTTAGCTACTCATAGTAAAGCAAGATAAAGCCATAAAATCATTCATAATTCATAAATAATGATAACAAGAAGAAGATTGAAAAACTATAATGGTGTCTTGATCTTCTCACACTTGTTCTTACCTCCAATTCAGTCTAAAAATAAGCTTAACCTTCACTTGGGTGAGTTTGTTGAGTTTATATAGGGTTAGGATAAGTTTCACACGATTTACACTTTAGTCCTCAAACTTCTTGTCTCCCTCCAGATCGATCGCGGTCGTGGCACGACCGCGGTGATTTACAAGTATTCTGTTTTTCGCCTTCTTTCACCACGCTCCAACCGCGGTGGGCTGTTGCGTAGTTTTTCTTTGCTTTTTCTTGCTCGTTTTCATCCGGACTCTTCTCAATTTGCCTTGTATCTACATAATTGAATCCAAAACACTCTATATCCTCCTCCTAGTTCGGAGTAGTTCCTGCAAAGCATAAAAATCTCAATTAGAGCATTTTGTTATCATTTAGCACTTAAAACATCAATAAAGTATGGTTTACTTCGAGCATAAATAGCATCTATATCATATAATATAGCCTACTATCAACATCCCACACTTAAACCGTTGCTAATCCTCTAGCAACAAAACCACACTCTATAGGCCTAATCATCACTGGGTCACTTCCCTACTCCTTATACCAAGAATAGTTCACACAGATAGACTACCTTAGTGTAACCTCCTAACCTCAAGAGTGGACTCTCTCTCTAGCTACGTAATGTCCCTAATCGGCTTTGTCCCTAATCGGCTTTATTACTCTCAGTCAGAGGTCCAGATTTACCTTTCCTTCATGAATCACATACCTACTCACCACAAAAAGTTGTGTCATGTCATTATAATTCACGCATTGAGGCATTCACATACGTATGATTTCACTCACCCTCAGAAATAAATTCTTATGCCACAAACAACGCACCATAGGCTTGCCCATAGTGTAATACTCGACTAATCGAGCTCATTTGGTCTAGAATCAAGTAGAACTTTATTTGGTTGTAATGTTGGCTGCGGGACAGGTAGGATACATATGGGTATAGTGACTACACCTCCCTAAGCACTTCAATACATCTTTCACCTTTAAGCTCATACTTTTGTCAAACCATTATTCCACATTTACATCATTGAGAGTTAAACCCCCTACTTTTTTAAGCACACTTACATCAAGAGCCACCATTTAACAAGGAAAATATTATATTATTATTATTTCAATTTAAGTGACTCTTATTTTTTTACACAATCCACCTTTCTCCTTATTTCATTAGCTCCACTCAAAAGCTCAACCAACTACCCCACACTTTAACTTTTCCATATTCATTACAATTCAAGTGCTTCTAAGAGGTGATATGGTTCAAAAAGATAGACAATTCACAACTAGGGTAATACTTGTAATGTGATTACTAAAGAAACAGGATTACAGGCTCAAAGAGGTTAACTAGGATATACACAATCAGGTGGGTGAAAACATATATAGATAGGTTCAATAAGGAAACGCCTATATCACTTTCCAAACCAATGAAGACTACCATTTAGCTTCGTACACACACAGGGCAAGTTCTAGGCATCGAGTGTTAGCATAGAATACACAAAGCCTCACTCAAACATGGCACATGATTCAATTCAGTTAGGACCATCAGACACTCTGCTCAAGGTGCTTAAGGCAACTCAAGAACACATAATTTAAGGCTTTATTGCTAGAGTCAACTAATGAGCCTAGGTGTTACACTAAAGCAATCTCTATTCAAGGTATCATGGAGTTAAGGGGTTCTACTTCTATTATTCACCCAAAAATTCCTACACTAACAAAAAATAAAAATAATAAAATACTAACTACACCGGTTCAAATGGAAACTCTTGGAAAAGAACCATGGTTTAAAGAAAAACCAAGGGGGAGTTGATACACTACCTAACAGAAGAAAATCTTTTTTTTGTTCAACTTAAGTCCCTCAAGAGACCCATCGAGAGGTGTCCGTCTTCGGGCCAAGTCGAAGTTAATTAACAGCAACAAAAAATGCCAAAAAAATTTATACAATTGTATAACAACAACAACCGTCCCCCACACCCCACTTAAAGATTTGGCATGTCCCCATGTCAAGGAATTTAAAACAAAGTAAGGTAAGGGGACTTCCCTGGTACTCAGTCCTGATCGGAGACGGTACCAAGATTAAGGTGACACGCTCGTCCTAGCACCCAGAGCCAGCCTATGATCTTTTTCTCTGACCTAGCATTTTGAGTAGCCAAATTGTCAACTCAAGCACCCAGGTCATTGACCGAAGTGCGTAGGCCAGCCATATTCTGCTCCAAGGCTGTCATACGGGTACTTTGGCGGGCCTGTGATGGCCTCACCTCATCAGCAATTTGCCCAGGTGGGGAGGCAACATGCATAGCTCCCTCATCATCATCATCATCGGTATCATCATCATCTGCCACAACCTGCTCTTTCCCAACTATGATTTTGCTAGCCTTGAATGCGGCTTTTATTGGCACTTTCTCATCTACTATGGGATTTTCAGGAACTTATGAAGCGCGACACAGCTTGGTGACCAGGGAAGGGAAGTAGAACCCTTTAAGTATTTCCGGGGAGCGAATGAACATTTCATCCTGAAGGAGCTGGGTCACATCAAAATCGTGGTGGGTCATAAAATAATAAATCGCCACTGCTCTTGGCCTATTAACATCTGTAGTATTGCTGGATGGCAGCAAACGACTGTTGATGATTGTGAGCCAACACTTAGCTTCCTAAGTGAGATATTGGGAGTTCAAGGTAATTCTCTACTTTATCCATATTGGATCCCAGCCAGCCACACAGATTGTTTCAAGAATTGGTTGCCACCAGAAGTTGCAAGGCATGCCTGTCAATGTGTAATTCAGGTAGTAGCTTCTTGGATGCCTTTGCATTAAACCTATCTTGAGCCACTTTGGAAACAAACCTAGTGCGGTCAAACTGGTCTATACTATCCTAAGCTCGATCTCTGGATGAACCTCCTAGTCCACTAGCGAAGGAACCTATGGCACGTCTTTTCCTTGACTGATGTATTGTACCTGATAAAACAGAGGCTACTATTAGTACAGGTTTGAGTTGTGTGAACCTTGGGTGGTTACTCAGACTTCACCACCACCATGGTCATATTAGCCATTACAGCTCCATTGGGACAATTTCACAAGCACCTTGTGAGCATGGACTATAATTTAATACACCTATCCCATGGAAGCATAAACTCTCCCCCCAAATCAACCATTCTCACTTCACAACTCCACCCCGCCACAATTAACTTCACACAACAATACCAAGCTCTTCTCTACAACATTTTACACATTACACACTAAAAAAAGAAAAGAAAACCAAAAATCTAACTATAGATACTACAACAATTCAAGCATTAAAATTGCAAAATAGAAAAGTACAAGAAGAGAGATGGAAAACATGAAATACCTTATTCTTGTAGAAGTGGAGAGTAATGGAAGTTGGGGAGGAGGGAGTGTATGTGTGTAGGAAAGAAGTGGGATTTGAGAAATGGGAAGAAGAAGAAGAAGAGAGAGGGGAGCGTGGGTTTAGGGTTTAGAGNGGGGAAATGGGGGGGGGGGGGGTAATTATGTTTAGTGAGTTTAGAAGAGAGAAAGAAAAGAAAAAAAAATATTTTAATTACACTTACCTGGGCTATAGAATGGCGCGATTCACCGCAGTCGCGGCGCGGTCCCACAATGGTCGCGGTGAAAGAAGAACACAAAACAGAATAGTCAAGAATTGTCGTGCCCGCACCGCGGTCCCATCACGGTCACGGGCTTCCAAAAAATATTTTTTTTATTTTTTTATTTGTTTATAAGAGTGTTAGTTTCATACACATCTGGTACAACATCAAAACAAAAGAAAAAGAAACAAAAGAAAACATGGGTTGCCTCCCACGCAGCGCCTGATTTAATATCGCGGCACGGCGCATGCTCATATCATCACTCCTCATTTGTGTATTGGGGATCCTCCAATGCTATCACCACGCTGTCCCCTTTTTCTTCAGTCATTCCGAGGTAATGTTTCAACCTCTGCCCATTCACTATATATTTGTTCGTCTCATCTTCAGATTCGATCTCCATAGCTCCACTTGGGAACATTTGCACCACTCTAAACGGTCCTGACCATCGGGACTTCAACTTACCTAGGAACAACCTCAATCTTAAGTTATATAGCAACACTAATTCTCTAGGTTCGAAGTTCCGATTCAAGATATGCTTGTCATGCATCAGTTTCATCATGTTTTTATATGGTCTAGAACTCTCGAATGCATGGAATAGGAATTCCTCAAGCTCATGCAACCCGTTAACTCTGTTGGTGCCCGCTGTCTCCATATTTAAGTTCAGCTGACGCAATGCCCATAGTGTTTTATGTTCGAGCTAAACCGGAAGGTGGCATGCCTTTACAAATACCAACTTGTATGGTGATATACCGATTGGATTTTTGAAGGTTGTGCGGTATAACCATAATGCATTATCCAGCTTCCTCGCCCAATCAGTTCTTGTTGCATTCATTGTTTTTTAGAGAACACTTTTGATTTATCTATTGGACACTTCCACCTTCCCGATTGTTTGTGGGTGGTATGGTGAGGCTATATTGTGGCGAACTCCATACTTCTCTAATAGGCATGCAGACGCTCTATTGCAAAAATGAGAGCCACTATCACTGATTATGGCTTGGGGGTGCCAAAACGTGTGAAGATGTTTTTCTTTAGGAAATTGGACACCCCTTTCGCATCATTGGTTGGGAGAGCAACTGCTTCGACCCACTTGGAGACATAGTCAACAGCAACCAGTATATACTTTTTACCGTATAAGCTGACAAAGGGCCCCATGAAGTCGATCTCCCACATGTCAAACACTTCCACCTCTTGGATTGTGGTTATTGGCATCTCATGACGACGGGATATGTTGTTCGTCCTTTGAGATTCATCACAGCTTTTGACCCAAGCATGGACATCCTTGAACAATGTAGGCCAATACAGGCCTGATTTTAGAACCTTTGCTACTGTCTGAAGTCCTCCAAAGTGTCCATCATATGGCAAAGCATGGCAAGCCTGCAAAATAGAGGGTTTATCTTGCGCGGCGATACACCGTCGGATCATGTTATCAACACATATTTTGAACAATAGAGGTTAATCCCAATAATACGCCCGACAATCACGGAATTTTTTTTTCTTTTGAATTGAGGATAGATCATGAGGTACAACACCACATACTAAGTAATTAGCAATATTAGCATACCATGGTGCCTCCTCCATTGTCACAGCAAGTAATTGCTCATCAGGGAATGTCTCAAGGATATCTTCAACCTCTATTCTCTTTTTTGCCCCTTCCAACCTCGATAGGTGGTTTGCTACTTGGTTGTCTATCCCCTTTCGGTAACGAATCTCCAGTAAAATTCTTGTAGCAACAGAACCCCGCGAATCAAGCGAGGCTTTGACTCCTTCTTTGCTATCAAGTACCTAATGACTGCATAGTCAGTGCAGATAATAAATTTTGAGCCAATCAGGTATGACCTAAATTTGTCAAAGGCAAATACTACAGCAAACATTTCTTTTTCTGTGACCGTGTAGTTCAGCGTGCACCACTAAGCGTCCTGCTTGCATAGTAAATAGGGTGCATAATTTTCTCCTTGCGCTACCCCAAAATCGTTCCTATAGCATAATCACTAGCGTCTCACATCAGCTCGAATGGTTGCTCCCAATTGGGTGCAACAATGATGGGTGCAGTCACCAGTCTCTTCTTCAGCTCCTCAAATGCTAACCTGCAATCATCAGAAAACAAAAAGTCCTGGTCTTTTTCAAGCAGCTTACATAAGGGGTTAGCAATTTTTGAAAAATCCTTGATGAACCGCTTGTAGAATCCGACGTGCCCAAGGAAACTTCTCAATGCTTTCACTGAAGTGGGTGCTGGGAGCTTCTCAATCACATCAACTTTTGCATGGTCTACTTCAATCCCCTTTTTGGACACTCTATGCCCAACATTATGCCTTCTTGTACCATAAAATGACACTTTTCCCAGTTCAGCACCAAATTTATCTCCACACATCGTTTGAGCACTCTTTTAAGGCTGTGAAGACAATTTTTGAATGAATCCCCTACCACGGAGAAATCATCCATAAACACCTCCATAATGTCTACGACCATGTCGGTGAAAATGGCTAACATATACCGCTGGAATGTGGCCGATCATTGCAAAGTCCAAAGGGCATCCTCCGAAAGGTAAAGATGCCATACAGACATGTGAAGGACGTTTTTTCTCTATCTTCCGGGGCTATTGAGATCTTATTGTACCCCGAGTATCCATCCAATAAAAAAAATGGGATCGCACAGCTAACCTGTCCAACATCTGGTCAATAAAGGGTAAGGGGAAATGGACCTTTTGGGTGGCTACGTTTAATTTCCTGTAATCCATGCAAATCCGCCACCCTATGACTGTACGAGTTGAGATCAACTCATTCTTCTCATTTTATACAACTGTCATTCCACCCTTTTTTGGTACACACTCAACGAGGCTTACCCAATTGCTGTCAGAGATGGGAAAGATGATGCTCGTGTCCAACCACTTGATTACCTCCTTTTTCACTACCTCTTTCATATTCGGATTCAGCCTTCGTTGATATTCCCTGGAAGGTTTGTGCCCTTCTTCCAGACGAATCTTGTGCATATAGAAAGTCGGGCTGATACACTTTATATCTGCCATGGTCCAACCAATGGCAGTTTTGCATTCCTACAACACCTGCAATAATTGTTCTACCTACACAGCTAGCAAACTAGATGATGTAATAACAGGCAAAGTAGAATTGGACCCAAAAAGCATACCTGAGGTGGGCTGGAAGCGGTTTCAGCTTCAGCTGTGGTGGTTCCTCTATTGATGGTTTTGCAGGTGGTGTAGCTCTCTTTTCTAATTCAAGGGGCTCGAACTAAGCTTCCCTCTTCCAGAATCCTTGGCCTTCAAATGCCATGACCCACTCTGTCAACCCGTCACCATCCATCTCCTCTAAATTTGTCAAACAAGCTCCCAATGGATCTTTGGCATTCAGGGTCTCATCATCTTCATGCAGGATCACATCCACCGCTTCCAATAGTGAGCAATTTGCATATTCACTGGGTCTCCTCATGGATTGTGGAACGTTAAATATTACTTATTTATCGTTCAACCTCATTTTCAATTCCCCAGTTTTACAATCAATCAATGCTCTCCCAGTGGCTAAGAATGGCCTCCCCAAAATGATGGGTATCTTCTTATCTACCTGGCAATCCAGAATAACAAAGTCTGCAGGGAAAACAAACTTTCCCACTTATATCAGCACATCATCAAGAATCCCTGTCGGCCTTTTAACCGTGCGGTCAGCAGTTGCAACATCATCGAAGTCGGTCTAGCTCTGTCAATGCCCAATTTTGTATATATTGCCAAAGGCATCAAGTTATGCTGGCTCCTAAGTCACAGAATGCTTTTACAAAGGCATAACTCCCAATAGTACATGGAATAGTGAAGCTAGTTGGGTCAGACATCTTTTGAGCCATGGGTCTTGTCACTACTACGCTGCATGTCTGTGTTAGAGTTACTATGGACAGGTCCTGAAAGTCAAATTTCTGTGACATCAGGTCCTTCATCATTTTTGCATAGCCTGGCATTTCCCTCAAAGCATCCATCAGAGGGATATTCAATTGAATCTGACGAAGCATCTCCATGAATTTCATGTATTGATCTTCTTTCTTTTGTTTTGCCAATCTCTGAGGGAATGGTGCAGGCATCACTCTTTGTCCAGTGTTTGCTGGTTGTTCTTTGTTGGAATTCTATGGCACAAGAGGTACCACATGTTCTTCAACTTGTTCCCTTTCTTTAGCCTTACCCTTATCAACCTGAGCCTGCTCAACCACCACTTCAGTGAGTTCTACTGATTCATCTATCTCTAATGGAACTGGAATGATTGGTGTAGTCTCTCTTCTGGATTGAGCAACTTCTTGCTCCCCGTCTAAACCTCTCCCATTCCGGAGACTTACTGCCATCAGCTGATTCGGGTTTTGCTCCTTGGGGTTAATGTTCATGTCAGCTGGCAATGTCCCCTAGGGGAGGTTATTTAAGCCATGGACAACTGCCCCAGTTGAGTTTCAATCCCCTTAATTACTGAGTCATACGCTGCCAACTTTTCCTGTATCTTACCATTTGTTCCAATGAGTTGTTGCAGTATACCCCTGATTTCTACCATGTTGCCGTCCTATTGCTGATGAGGTGGCTAATATGCCAATTGTTGTTGGTGCTGCTGTTGATAGCCCTGTTGTCTCTGATATGGCACCATTTGGCCTTGGGGCTGCATACTTCTAGGTTGTGGCATGTTCGGTTTGTACTGCTGGTTGGGTGTTGGTCTCCAATGTTGTCCTCCTTGCCTCTGACCCCCAAAATTGTTAACATAATTTATATCCTCTCTTAACCCTTGGTTGTCACCTTCTCCGCTCCATGAACACACATAAGACTGATTAATGCAAGGTGTACACAGTCCTCCATTTGTTGTGTCAATGATATGCACTTGCTTTGTACCCATATCATCAATCTTCTTCGTCAGTATACTCATCTAAGTTATGAGTGTGGCTATGTTCTCTGCATGTGAATTGTTTGGGTCAAGAGGAACTGAATGCACTATTGGTGTCAGGGTTGTACCTCTCGTCATCCACCCCGAATTCTGGGACATCTTGTCAAGAAGGATTTTATACTATGTGAATGTCTTGCTCAGAAATGCACCCCTAGCTGAAGCATCTACATTGGCTTTTAAATTGTCTACTAACCCCATGTAGAATCTCTGGCCGAGCATCTAGTCTAGAATACCATGGTGGGGACACTTCACTAGCATCCCTTTGAATCTTTTCCAAGTTTCCTGCAAGGTCTCAGTGAGCTATTGCTTGTACTACAATATCTCATCAATCGGTCTTGCAGTCTTATTGGGCCGGTAAAACTTGTTCAGGAACTGCTTGACTAATTCCTCCCAAATGGCAATGGAATTTATTGGGAGCGAATTCAGCCAAGTCTGTGCTTCTCCAGTCACAGAGAACGGGAACAGTAACAACTTGATGGCTTCTGGGGCCACATTTGGCTGCCTTTGGGTCATACAAATTGACAGAAAATTTTTCAGGTGTTGTTGAGGGTCTTCAATGTGTGACCCGGAGAACAATCCCGTATTCTGCAGAAGATGCAGCATTTTGTTGGTGATCTGGAATATCTCCACTTGTATTGGTGGCACAGCAATGGTGGTGGCCATGTTATCAGTTGTTGGTTGTGCCCAATCATAAAATCAGCTTCTGGCACAAGAGGTGCCACCACTCTGACGTTTGGGTCATCTTGATCATTCCTAATGTTTACGTTGACGTTATCTACGTCACCCATTTCAATTTCAAGTTGGTGTATTTGTTGTCATTGTTTATTCTTCTTGCTGGCACGGTTTAATGCCCTGAATGTTTTCTCGGGGTCTGAGAGTCCTTCAACCAGTTCACCAGTCCTCGAAGAATCTCTAGGCATACACCTAAATCACATAAAAGTTCAAATGTGAGAATTTTAATGAAAATTTATTTAACACCGTAGAAAATTGATCTAAACTAATAATTCTAGCACTACTTCTAAGTTGTAATAAATAACATCGTTAGTTCCCCGGCAACGGCGCCAAAATTTGATCACGCCCAACTATGCCTTATAAAAGACGAAGCGGTCATTACAAATATAATCCAGTTTTCAAGTACGGAGTCGAATCCTCAGGGAACTAACCTATCTATTACAACTCTTAGTGATGCTATTACAAGCTCAAACAATTTCCGGATGCAAGATTTTTGTAAATTTTGGGTTTTATTTAACTAAAGTAAAATGATATTAAAACTAACAATATTCTAAATCAAAGATCGTATAGCACTTAAAACATCAATAAAGTATGGTTTACTTCGAGCATAAATAGCATCTACATCGTATAATATATGCTACTATCAGCTGCGTACAACAGACCTTTATGGTCCGGTCCTTCCCCGAACAATGCGCATAGCGGGAGCTTAGTTCACGTGGCTGCCCTAAATAATGAGCTAACCTTCTAAGACGACGTTTAAGCTAGACCAAGAGTTGCATTCCCAAAGATGTGACACAGAGCCCAAGCTTTCAGTTAGTCTTCTTTTTTGGAACTCTTCTTCCTTTGTTTATGCTTGCTTATTTAGGAGTAAATTTTGAGCTGGCTTTCTTTTTGGTCTAGGTTGCTCGGAAGTTGAAAGACGAGGAAGGATTTTATTGTCCTCACAATCTTGATTTTCGAGGACGTGCATACCCTATGCATCCTCATTTGAATCACTTGAGCTCTGATCTCTGTCGAGGAATCCTTGAATTTGCGGAAGGACGGCCACTAGGAAAGTCAGGATTGCGTTGGCTGAAAATACATTTAGCAAGTCTTTATGCAGGGGGAATAGAGAAGCTCTGCTACGATGCACGCCTTGCATTTGTAGAAAACCACATTGATGACATATTAGATTCAGCAAACAATCCTCTAAATGGAAATCGATGGTGGTTAAATGCTGAGGATCCTTTTCAGTGCTTAGCAGCTTGCATTAACCTATCAGAAGCTTTAAAAAGCTCGTCATCGCATACTGTCATCTCCCATCTGCCTATTCATCAGTTAGAATTCTTACATCCTTACATTTTGTCTTCTGTTCAAATCCATTTTATCTGATTGGTTTGATGGTTAAAGGATGTAAAAAAAAAGTTAATCTGTAGATAAAATAAGATAAGTAAATTAATGTTGAAAATGTGAGATACTATACCTTGCATTCATAATTCCTAACTCATTTCCCATGTCACTGGCCGCTTTCCGCTATGTAGTTTTAGTTGGGAGGAGAAATTGGATGTCAATGCCATTGAACCCCTCCAATTTTCTAGATGCATCTTGTTCATAACGTGCTTCATCAAATTTCAGTGTCGTATTATGTGGCATGCCCACTCAATCAGTTATTTTCAAGTTCATGCTCTACCTCTGCATTCCACTAATTTAAGGATTCAATAATTGTTGATTTATTTTTTCCATCGTCTTTGTGCTGAAAGTATTTGTATTTGACGTTCTTCTTTTGTTTCTGGTGTGACTTGTTGTTTGTTTTAAATTGATTTAACTTGTCTATTCTGTTCATGTTAACAACTTTCTCTTCATTCTATATATAGGATGGTTCATGCAATGGCCTTCAACACTATGCAGCTCTGGGAAGAGATAGTGTATGTTTGCGTGAACTTTAGCTTGTTCAATGATGCAAGTCACTCATGCAACGTCTTTATTCGTGCTAATACTTTACTCCGTACATGTGCAGATCAGAACTTCTCTTCAAGTTTTGGCTTTGCAACGTGAGGGTGATGCAGTAAGTAATACTTCTTATGAATGTGTTTACTTTCTTTGTTAAGATTTCATATTTGAGTGTGATGCCTATTTTATTGCTACGTTTAACCCTAGGTTGAGGTCAGGAAACAGAGAACTGCTTTTCCTCCAAATTTCGTGCACTCACTGGATGGTTCGCATATGATGATGACTGCTGTTGCTTGTAGGGATGCTGGACTACAATTTGCAGGTTTATTGCCCTTTCTTTCTAATAATAACTAATATATAGTTGAGCTTTTGACCGCTTATATGCACATTATGCATTCCTACATACAACATACAGAAGTTGAAATTGTGCTTCCAAAACTGAATTGTGAAACAGTTTAGTGAAACGGTTTCCTAAATTTGAGTCCTTCAAGTGAAGAAAGATTTCGTTTTCAGTAAACTTCAGTGGGGTGGGACTTTTGTTTCAGAATATCTTGATGTTGAGTTTGCTTTGTCGAGACAAATGTGTAAGCTCTAGCGCTGGTTGCTTTTTTCTGGCTTCATTAGAGCTATCGCTCAAGTTTCTGAATTTGATTGGTCGGTTTGTCATATATAAACTCACAAACTATTAGGACTTTTAAAACTTGGGTTAGAGTTCATTTACTTGCTATTCCTTCAAGCATTCTTCTTGTTTGATACAATATTTTTAAATTGAGAATATTTATCAAATTCCCAATCTGTTGTAGGGGTACATGATTCCTTCTGGACTCATGCATGTGATGTCGACCAGATGAACAGGATACTCCGCGAAAAGTTTGTGGAGCTGTACAGTATGCCTATTCTTGAAGATGTAAGTATTTTGAATTGAAGTTTCCTTTCTAGCTGAACCCATCTTTCAAGAGCTCCCCGATATTACTTACGCTTCTATTTCTCAAACTGCTCTTCTGTTATAAATGATGTCTTGTTTGCAGTTGCTCGAAAGCTTCCAGAAGTCATATCCAGCATTAACATTTCCTCCTCTACCAAAAAGAGGTGATTTCAATTTAAGGGAAGTTCTCGAGTCGCCCTACTTCTTTAACTGAGGAACTGATGACGCTGAAACCCTTTGGACGAAATGATATGTTTTTTATCTGAACAAACATGAAGCTTTTATGCGAGGATGATTGCTCGGACTTGTATTCCGATGAAACATGAGAGCTTTATTTCGTTCTTGCACTGTCGCTTCCCAAGTAGTCCATGTTCGTTACAGTTTACTACGTAAGTTCTATAGGACAAAACGTCAGAAGCCTAGGAAATTTGCAGTAACATTGTTGCCTACAGCATCGGACTACACAAGTTCAAACTTCAAACGATATGAAAATCCTGAATGCGTTACATGCAATACTCGGAATGTAGAAGGACAAGTACTGAAAGATGTGGCATACATCTCTGCTTTATAGCTGAAAAATCGCAGCTATGTACATTGGTTCAGTTTCTTTTAGATGTTAGTACAGATATCTTGGTGAATATGATTGCTGACGATTCATATAGCCGACCCAACTTTGTTGAAACTGAGATGTAGTTATTGTATATATATCTTGGAGGGGATTGTAACTTTTTTGTAGTTTAGGGTGAACCTATTTAATGGTGCTCTTGATATGTATAGGCATAGAAATTAGGGAAATGTTGTTGTATCTATTACAGGAAAAAGATACTTTTGTGCTTTTCGAATTGAATTGCAGGACTAATTAAGATTGATATATGTATTACTAACATGTTTCTTTTACTGATTTTCTGGAACTTAAAAGGACTTAAACTGCTATGTGATTTTCTGATATTTTTTGTTTCTTGGAGGTCACGGGCTCAAGTCGTGGAAATAGCCTCTTACAGAAATGCAGGGTAAGGTTGCGTACAATAAACCCTTGTGGTCCGGCCCTTCTCCGGACCCTGCGCATAGCGGAAACTTAGTGTACCGGGCTGCCCTTTTTTGACGGTTGAGAACCCTTAATATTATTTGGAGGAAATCGTTCAACATAATTTACAATTTGAATAGAAAAAAATGACTTTGCAAAGATATCTGGTCTTTTATTTTATGAGAAAATGACCTTACAAAGATTTGTTGTGTTTTTTTTTAATGTGTAAAAATAAATATCTCACTTGTAAATATGATTTTCTGTACAACCTATATACTGTTTTTATTAATATACATAAATGTTACCATTTCAAAAATAAATGAAATAAAGATCTCTTGGGACCATTTCCTTAATTTTGACCACCTTGAATATTTGCTATTATCATGTTCGCTCTATCATAGATGTAAGAAACTCCTCTTTAAAAGATAAATAAAGATGTAAGTTTTAAAAATAACTTCAAACAATTCAACTCCACTCCCACTAAAATAAATTTTGCCAACCAGAAAAATTCAAAAAAAAAAAAAAAAAAAAAAAAAAAAAAAAAAAAAAAAAAAAAAAAAAAAAAAATTGCCAACCCAGAGGATAAAAAAGAAGGAAGAAAAGAAACGAAGATGCTTTATGGAATCAAATAAGGAATCTAGAATATGAATGCAAGAGGAAACTTTTATTTCCATATATTAGTAATTTGCATCATTTATAGGCATTACAACTATTTAGAGAGTATATAACAAAAATCATGTTATTAAAGTGGGGAAAAGAGAACAAAAGTAGTACTAATAATTTAGAGGGTAAAATGGACATTTAAGAAGGTCAATTGAGATATAAGGGAGAAAGTGCCTATTGTTCAAATTTGTAGGGGGAATTTGACTTTTAAAATAAAGTTAGGGGGTGTAAAATATTTCATTAATCAAACTCATAACAAAATGCCATTTGTATAGAATATCTCGAGGCAGAGGCGGATCCAGGATTTGAGTGCGAAGGTGATACCACTAACCTTAAATATGCCAATAATTAATGATAAAATTTTGTGTGCAGTTCTTTAAGAAATTAATAAGTATGACAAGTCATCCGCAATATATAAACAACCAAAAATGTTTAAAGAAAGAAAAAGCACTAAGCAAAGAGTGAAAGATTACTTTGCAAAATAGGTGATAAGAAGCAATGTTGATAGAAGCGGTGTCGTCCGATACTGCTTCGTTAATTTTTCTCTCTATATATATAAGTAAGTAATATGCAAAAATAAACATTATTATCAGTATTTTGTTGTAAAACATTTTGACAAAACTGGTTTACTAGGTCTGTAATGAAGCCTTCAAGGTGTTTAAACTAGCAGCTCAACCACTTGTCGTCCAGCTTTTGTTTTTCAGGGACCCAAGTAAACTATTTAAGGGGTCCTATCTAGATATACAGTACACATAAAATTTATATATACATGGTTTTTGTCAAGCATAACGGGTTCCGGTGACCCTGCATCCTCCACTGTAGGTCTGTCTCTGTCTCAGGGAATATGATAAGTGAGGATTTATATAGCCGACCCTAACTTATTTGAAACTGAGGTGTAGTTATTGTACATATATCTTGGATGGAATTGTAACTTTTTTGTAGTTTAGGGTGGAAATGATACTCTTGATATGTATAGGCATAGAAAACTAGGGAACTGTTGTATCTAATACAAGAAAAAAGATAATTTTGTGTTTTTCAAATTGATCATTGTATTTACGAGTTATATATATTTATATATATTTACGAAAATGTTTCCTCGGCAGAATTTCTGGAACTCAATGAGAAAAACCTGATGTATGCAATTTTGTGATATTCTTTTTCTATTGTGTGACAATTCGAGAACCCTTAATTTGCTATTAAAGACATTGTTTAGTATTAAAACGAAATAAGATTCGTCGTGTTCAAGACTGAGGCAAAAATGATGGATTTATAATCATAAAAAAGTACATAATCTTGATCACATCAAATGATATTAAATATGTTACTTAAAAGATGTAATTAACTTTCGTCCTTCGTATAAAGATAAACCTCGTCAAAGATATATATATATAAAAAAAATTAGTAGAGACTAGGGGTATGCATCCGATTTATCGATTCGATTTTGACCTTTATCGATAATTACTTATCGATTATCGATTTGTACATATACTTATTGTTATCGTTTCAATAAGATTTCGATTTTTTTGATTTCGATTTGTCAACTTTGGGGGCTTATCGATTACACCAATAAGAAAATTTGCGGGATCCACGAAAAGTATATTGCTATAAACGCGCCTAACTAATATGGACAAAAGGAAGCTAAAATAAGACGAACACCGTTTATAACATAAAAATTGTGTCAACAAGCACATGCAACAAAACTAAAGTAAGGGATCAAATGTATGTCACCAACACTCCAATGGTATTAAAAAAAACAAAAACAAAAAAAAACATCATCACGGTTAATTCTGTTTTTCATTAATTTGAACTTCATTCCCTTGATCTTTAAATATGATCATTCCTTAAATATGGTAGAGGAAATAATAGGGTTAGGGACTTAGGGTAAAGGAAAGGGTATTATAGAATAAGGGTAATTTTTTTATTTTTTATTTTGTCTTTTTAGTATATCTTATCGGTGACGCATTCTATATAGATTAGGGAAAATTATATTGTATAGCCGCTTTCAAAATAATAGCGGAATATATATACATCTTGTATGTTATATTAAAAAATTATAGTATAAATTTTATACACCTTTTCTGCTATCAAATGTCTGGCGTAGGCTAAAAGTGATAATACCCCTATAGATTAGCTATAAGATATTTGTGATAAATTAATTAATCTACACAAATAGGTAATTACTTATTTTACAAGTGTCTACACTAGGGGTGTGCATTCGATTTATCGATTCGATTTTGACTCTTATCGATAATTACTTATCGATTATCGATTTGTACATATGCTTATCGTTATCGTGTCAATAAGGTTTCGATTTTTTCGATTTCAATTTCGATAACAAATAATCGATTCGATTTATTGATAAAATGATTCGAATGCACACCCCTAATAGAGACGCTATATGTAGTTGTCTTTCTACAGGGCAATATCTATATTTTTCCTTATTGAGAAGAGAGTCTAATTTTGAATGGTGACGAACTTTAACTTTGAGAAATAATACATTTAAAGGATCCACAAGAAGTGAATGTCCCATTATTATGGAACTCAACTTAATTATTTTAATTTTCCTTTTCGCATGAATTATCCATTTTCTTTTAATGGTTTTTAGCTTGTTAAAAAGCGAAATTGGGTACTTCTCTCTGTTTTCATTTATATAAAACTCTTTAATTTCGGAATTTAAAAAAAAAATGTTTTGACACAATGATGGGGAAATGATAAGCTTAACTTATGATTGACAAAATTTTATTTGGTTTAAGAATTCTGTTTATACTAAACTTCATTAATGATTCACATAAATCAGAAAATTTAGATTTGTGATAAAATTAAAAGGTTCCATATCCTTATGGATGTCTTGCGGAAGCATAATTTAAACTTTATCGGTTGAAAATTTTAGGACAGTGATATCAAATAATATATTTGTTCCTAATTTTTTAAACAAATTGATTATTACATTATCTATTTTATAATTAAAATATTTAGTTAAAAACACGTGTATATATTAGTTGAAGTATATTATTGATTTAACTTAGCAAGGGGTTAAATCTAGCAAAAATCCTAACCAAACATTTTATTGAATTTATTTATTTTGTTTTCACATTAAGAGTTTGAAGATATAAATAAATCTTAAAGTTACATGTATTTCCAGAACTCTGTTAATACACAAACTTCACTTAAGAAGTTATGATTAACATAAATCAAAAAATCAATTATCCGATTAAGTTAATAATTCTCCTAATACTTAAAAATCTCTTCATTTACAACCCTATATAAACCCCACCATAGCTACTTTCACAATTCATCTTAGAATACAAACCCTAAATTTCTTTGTTATTATTAAAAACATGGCTAAGAAAAGTTTTCTCACTTTTCTCATTTGCATTTTCCTACTTCTCAACCTATGTATTGCTATCGAGAAGGTAGAAACTACGCAAAAATCTGATTCATCGTCATCACAAGATACAGAATTGGATTGGTTCCATCCATGGTTCCATCCACATTTTCCATGGTTTCATCATCCACATCCATGGCCATTCGTTCATCCGCCAATGCCAGCTGGCGGTTTTCATCATGCATGGCCATTTCCACATCCACCTATGCCTGCTGGTGGTCATAAATTTCCTCATCCATGGTTTCATCGTCATCCATGGCCATTCATGCATGCACCTGTTCCATCTCCACCTAAGGGAGATAAGAATTAATTGAAGATATGAAGAAAAATGTTAGATCAATATCTTATTGATCATATATTTTTCTTTAGGTTATTACGTTTAGGGTTTTGTCTTAGGTTTATTTGATAAAAATAAATAATTGTTCTAGAGTAGTTATTTTAGTTTTAAAGAATTTTCAAGTAGTTTTCGTTTGTAAGAATGTTTGCTTCGGCTTATTATGAAATAAAATTCTTTTTATTTATATTTCTATTTTTTGAACGTATTAAATCTTTTTTTTTCTTTCTCTAGAGTAACTTTTATGTTGATTGTTCTCTATTTTTATTATTTGCATGCCTTTCTGTATAAGGAAACTTTGTCATTCAAATTTCATAGTCAATATTTTTATCTAACATTCCAAGGGAAATAAAAAAATTTAATGTTAAATCCAAATAAGTAGGAAAAAATTGAAGACAAATAATACATCTAAGGATCCAAAAAGGAGGGAAATATCCCATGTTATAGAATTAACTGTCATTAATTCCTGCAAAAGTTAAAGAGAGAAATATATTTTCTTGTGGCTCAACTTCATTATTCCATTTTTCCGTTTAAACAAGAAAATAATTTCTTTAGGCCGTTTAAATAAGTCTTGGAGTGAATAATTTGATTAGCATAAATGAGCCTCTTCTGAGCCCGTGAGATNCCCCCCTCCCCTCCCCAACCCTTACTCTCTCTATAAAAAAGCCGATTTAAGCCTTAGCAATCTCAGTTTGCTGCTGCCAATCCTTAGCAAACTTGTAAGAAATCTCTTTATCCCAACGATGAATGAGATTTTACAAAAGTCATTCGAGAGAAATTCTTTTGTGGACGGCAAAAAGATCGGGAGTCCCACAGTCCCTTAGTCCTGTACCGGCTGTCGGTCTATCTCATATTCGCAGAAGAAGGAACTTGCTTAATGCCGGAAGTGTAATTAAGTAGGCGGCTAGTCGTAGAAAGTCACCCCAACCCTACCGCCAAAGCTTGACTTTACTAAACAAGCAAGAAAGGCTCTTTCTATCTTATTAGTCAAGCGCTAACGAGTGTGGACAAGGAATTAAAATATCCCTGCCAATGTATTTTGACATCCCACAGCTTCGGCAGGATCGCTTAGCCCCGTTCATCTTCGGCGCAATTAGAAAGAAAAATTCACTATGAGATAGATTTTCACGCTTTTCTATAGTTTATTACTAGTAGTATTAGTGTTAGTTTTATATTTTTTTTACTCTTACATTTTTATTACTAACGGTTGTTTCTTCCGCTTTGGTTTCTTATTATCTTGTTGTTATTACTGCTTGTTGCTACTATTTTTTTTTAACATGTCCTTGAGCCGAGGGTCTGTCGGAAACAACTCCTCTACTTTCTCAAGGGTAAAATCCGCATACACGCTACTCGTATGTTATTGTTGTATATATTTTTTTTTCCTTCTCTATTTTCCATTTCCTCTTCCACCATGAGATGAAACAATTCCATGCAAGTAAAGCAATTTCTTTCTCTTCTATTAAATAGAGGATCAAGAAAGGAAAGAGAACAAAAACAGTGAGTTGTTGTGCAAAAGACTCCTAATAATATCACTACATTATAAGCCTTGATAAGTAATACAGACTCAAACTGCAAAAATTTCACATTAATAAGTTGTTTGATGGACAATTTCCAGATAGCATATATCACAAAACAATTCCCTTGTTCGATAAACAAATCGATACAAACTTTCTTTTATTGGAGGGAGAAATAAAATAACTCGTAAACATTATTTGGAATGAGAATCTCATCCGGAGGACGCCTTAGATACAATACTCGAATACTGATACAACAAATAAATTAACACGAACACGAACACGACCAAACTCCTTGTGTTCCAATGAAATAACAAGATATGTCTAGTTTTCATCGTCTGAACAATGAAACCCTTCGACGAGAATTAAACCTGCAAAAAGCTAGCATACTTGGCACCTAGGAAAAGCCTTTGGATACAGAGTAAGGCATTTTTTGTGACCTCTGCATTCTCGTGGTTCAACAGTTTCATTACGCGCTCCTTAGCTTTGAGGTCATTCACTATGATTCGCCCAGCAGAATGGCACTGAATGAACTGTGATAGATCATAGCAAGCAACAGCAAGTGTCCTTGGATCACTTGATGTGTCCAAAATTGTAATGAGCACCCTCAGGATCTGCAAACACGACACAAAAGATATCAGTCTCAATATTTTTTTATGATGAATCGAGAAATCCCCGAGACCCAGTCAGGTGTTTGATTCGAAACTCGGTGGATAATGGACTCACTCTTCTACCCTTCCGTAAATACCAGGCTTTTGTCTATGACAAAATTTGAACTTGTGACGTGCATCTAACCCACACATCACGCGCTGCACTCTTATTACTAGATCAAAGCCCTCAAGGACGATATAGATCTTAGGGGTCATTTGGTTACCAGGACAAGGATACTAATCTCGGTATAAAATTTGATATTACAGCTATCCCATGTTTGGTTGAGAGTATTAGCTAATACATTTTATACCAAAATGGTAGAGTATTAGCTTATCCCACATAGGAGGTGGGATAGATAATCCCCTGGGATATCACAGAACTGAACCAAACGACTTGTATAGTATTAGAAACGACTTTGTTGTACAGATTCGAAGATTCACTCTCTAAAGTAAAATAACATTATGTTACGATAATGACCACTTCTACAGCCACCCGCTTACCTCTTCTGATGGAAGTTATTCTTATACATGAATATTTAAAACTAGCTTTTTGATTTGAGTAGCACATAAATTTGGTAAAGGAAAGTAAAAGATCGTACACCAACAGAATCCAGCAGAAATGTCTGGTTCTTCAGATGAAAAGCATTTGTTAATGCTGCACCAAGATAGGGTTGTATTTTACGCTGATATGCAACATGAACTTCACAGCTTTTTAAAGACACGTAAGCTTGGGAATTTCTGCAATTCACAAAGTATTACCTGGAAATCATTCTCCTCAAAACTATTTATGTTTTCGCGCCAGAATATAGGATCTTTGTGCATCGGAGACCAATCAAGATGGCCTAGAAGGACTTCTTGCTTGTACTTATCAAACGAACTCAGCTTTTTGATGTTATCCTTCAATCCTTCTTCTAGTTGATTCAGAGCATCCAAAAGATCCTACAGATATGGTAATTAACTTTATGAGTCTGAAGTCAAAGAATATTTCATTCTTCAATGACACAGTAACATGTTAAACTGTCAAAATATAGCAAATCACTGAGATGAATGGAGCAAGTAGCTATAAATATAGCGAATCTCTTCATGTAATGATGATTGAAGACAGCAATAAATTTGCAGATAAATGAAACAGAAATATGATATTTAGCGACTGTTTCTCTATGTACCAAAGTGTGAGGCATTCATTTGTCTTAATTCATTTTTTGATGGAACTGCTTTATGTTTGCAAATGATGTAGAGATAAATTAAGACATACTATCAGATTATAAACCATTAAAAAACACGGTTCATCACCTCATCACTCCAAGCCTGCGCTTTCAAGCTCTGAACAATCTGCAGCACTCCCAAGTCTACCATCAGAATACTAAATGATCCTTTGGAAAGCAAATTCCGAAGAGTCAAGATGACGACCCGTACGACCTATAGTTATAGAAACACCGCAGGCCATGAACGGAGATGAGACAAGGAAAACCAATGTAGAAAGCAAAACATCAAATTTAAGAAATAAAAATAGGGAGTAGAAACTGTTATTATGGATAAAGCAACAAAAGTAGCTCACCTTCTCCTTTGTTGAACCTTTAACAACTTCTATCAATCGAGGGAGCGCCCTTGAAGTAGCTAAGTACTCTATTGCAGGTTCATAGTAAGACAATAGCCAGACACATAGACATGTCTCGTAGAGAAGCTGTTTTAAGGAAGAAAATAAAATCAGGAAGAAAAAAAGAAAACAATTATTCTTTTATGTCTAGCTTCCGGAGTTGCATGATACATTGAATGAGATACAGAACCGTCTCAAGCACTGCTACTTACTACTACGACATGAATAGAATTTATGAAGTTAATGCAATATGTGGCATTAAAGAACCTGGATAGACTGCTGCGTTGATGCTGGTGTAATTAAAGGAACAAGCAACTTCACTCCATCGGCTCGAACAAATGAAGATCGAATCACTGGCTCCTTCAACAGAGTTGCTAGGNCCCCCCTGGCCCCCAAAAAAGAAACTAAAACTCCAAAAAGCTTCTTTCCCCTTTCATCAAAATTCTTTTTTTGATAACCATAATGTTTGGACCAGCTTGTGTGCACCTCGACTAATTCCATGGGATACCTGCTACTTTCCACCCGCAATAGGTACTAGGTAACTTTGTCCATCAAGGCTTAAACATATGGGAAGAAATCACCTAGAATTTTTTGTCTCGGCTAGGATTTGAACCTGATCAATTATTTACATTGAAAGTGAAGAAATAGGCCATAAACCTTGTTATGACTTGTGACGTCCAGAAACGAGCTTGATTTCCTACTCAATGGCTTTATTTCAATGCTTCATCACATTAAACTACTAATCCGCACACCTCATCGTCCTGGGCTTCTAGCACCTTTCATCCATCGACCACTTATTTTCTCTTACGACATTTATTGGGAACACTATCCCTCTGTCAAGTACTTCCAAACAATTAAAGACATTTATACTGAATCCTTCTTGAAATGTTTGCAAACCAAGTAATTGTAGGCTATGTTGCACACACTCTCCAAAATGCTGCCGCACTCATATCGGATCCTCCAAAAATGCATTACTTTTGAAGGATCCGACGTGCACCCAGTGTTATCAAAGGCGAAAAGCGCAAAAAAGTTCTAAGGTCCGTTGGGGCTTTAAGCGCAAAGCGCAAGTAAAGCGTGGGCTTTAATGAAAAAAGGCGCAACTGGAGAAAAAGTAAAAATATGTATATGTAGTCCAAGACTAATAATTATAAGCATGAATAACAAATATATGGACAAAGAAATTGAAAAAAAAAATTACGATAAAGCAAAATATCAATTGTTTAATGTCGCCTTTTCAAAATTTTATCCATTGGCAAAGACAAGTATGCCTTAGAGCCTTGATGCGACACTAAAGCGCCCACAAAGCGAGGCGAAGCACTCAACGTGTTTTGAGCCTCGCTTCAGGGCTTGAGCGCGCCTTTGACAACACTGCGTGCACCCAACAGCACTTTTGAAGTGTGCGAGCAATATAGATTGCAGGTTTGGCGGGATGGAGCGCTTTTGAAGTGTGCGAGCAATATAGATTGCAGGTTTGGCGGGATGGAGCGCTTTTGAAGTGTGCGAGCAATATAGATTGCAGGTTTGGCGGGATGGAGGAAGAAGAAAAAGTGGAAAATCTAGGAATACACACAAACCTGTGCACAAAGCCAATCAACCAGGCCGGTCAGAACATCTTCGATGGTAGTGAGTTTCTTCTTTGAACCTGACGCGTCTCCATTAGCATCAACACCATTCTGAACTTTTGGCCTGGCACTGGAGTTGTAATTAATAGGAACACAAAGTTATCAGTTCATATATCATTCAAATCTCCTGAGTCATTTGAAATCATTCACATGAGAGGGATTCATAATCTTATTACCTCACTATCAAAGACAGAATCTTACAGCTCTTCTCTTGTATGAACCAATTACCTTTCCAGAGCAATCTGGAAAATGAAACTCATCTTTAGCAAGAGAAAAGGAATATTATGGAAAGAACGAATACATAATCTTGGTTGATTTATAAAGATTAACAGTTGGTAAAAGACAGAAAAAGGGGAGAACAGATAATTCTGAGATACAATAAAGTAGCAACTTTTTTCAACAACTTTTATATGTGTGTGTGTGTGTGTGTGTGTTTGTGTTTCTATTTATCATTTCAACATCACCTGATTTACAATCTCTGCTTAGTATGACTAATAAACTCAATGCTTTCTTCAGCAGTGGAAGGGAAAGTAATAGCTGCGTGCCTGTAGTATCAATAGAGTCGAGGTAAAGGTGTCTTGACTTTGTTTTATACACCAACATTTCCATTAGGAAAAGAAATCTTAATAACAATTTCATTCAAAAAGGAAAAGCTTGTGTGCTATCGTATTTAAGTTATCTTCTAATAGTTTACCAAATCTAAAGGGAAAGTAGGGAACTTAAAAGATATTAAAGATCGAGTAGAACGGGAAAAATAAAAGAGAAAGTGGGTCGAGTGAATTAAGATATGAATGAACACAGGTTTAAGAATTTTTCCATGGGACTCTAAATATTGCAATTTTGTGCACTTGCATATATACTACAGAACCATAAAATTAAAATACTGCTAGCTGACAACAGATGTGATATTCTATAATTATAGCATGACTTGATACATATATAACGTAATATACATGTAAAGAAAGAGGGAGGTAGATTTGTTAACATCTGCTGATATTTGTAGACATAGATGAAGACAGGTAAGGGGGTGCATGCAAACTGCATATCATGAGAAAGAAAAACAATTTCTACATCGCCACTGTAAATAAAGGACAGCAGATTGCATTCAAAGGATTGCAAACCAAAATTTAATAAAAAAGGTTATGAAGAGTATTGCCTGAGGAAAGGCTCATAGGTATCTTCATCTTCAAGACTGTTATCATGGAATAGTCTTGCTCTTTTCGGGTTAGCTGCCAAGAAATAAGCGTTACATCAGTCGACTTATCAAAGGACCTTTTAAAAGTTACATTTTCTCAATTTACCTGTAAGCATTTCATCAATCAAAGCCAAAACATACTCCACGGTTTCTTCCTTGAAGACGTCATGTAATATGGTAACAAAGACGCGGACATAACCTCGACCGTCCTGTAATAATTGTGTCCATTTTATAAGAGTATCAAAACTGAGCTCATGATTAGACAATCAAAGGCTTGAGAGGTTGACCAAGGACCCAAAAATGAAATCTATAAATAGGAATGCTTAGAAATCAGCAGTTGCAAGAACTCCATTTCCCACATAGACCATATGAAAAACTTGGAAAAAGCTCGATAATGTTTAAAACTTCATTTATCCTAAAATTCGATGATGCCGATTATGAATGACTATTTCAAAGTAACAAATGAACTCCGGAAAAATGAAGGTAATAGACTATTTAGTCATTGGCATGCCAAAAAGTAAAACTTACACTACCACATCTAGACATTTTCCTAATATAATTTAGAAGAAATCTACCTAAAACTCCAAGATTAATTAGGCGGAAACAAGTAGCGTAAGTACAAGATGCAAGAATTAGACTCTGTTGTCAACCAAAATGTAACTAATAGCTAAAGACAACTCGATTTAGAAATATTACATCATCCAACAACTGGGCTTTGTAACTTTCTGCCTTTTTGTCATAGCGTCTCAACAGCTGAAAATCTGTTCCTGTGATCAGCTTTGTGGCCATGTATGTCTCCCATGGGATATCCCTGCTCAAAACCTTAGGAAATAGAAAGACATAAAAATGTTATTAAACAATCAGTAGTGCCAAAAAAGACCCGGTTGATCACTTATTTTTTCAGGTTTTTTTCTTCCCCCCACCCCCCTTTCCTCACAACCAAAAGAAATAAAGCCACAGTCCACAAAGAAACTCCTGACGGTAATGAATTCTTTCTCCTTTAAACACATGCCTTCAACTACCAAAAATCAAAATACACACCTTAGCCAATCCAACAACAACAACATCAACATCATACTATATTATAAATATGAAGACCAAACTAAAAACTTAAAAGACTGAAATAACCCTATAAAACTGAATGACTATAATAACCTTCAACATGATATTATTTCAAATACAATTTTGTACAAAAATGTAAATATACATTCTAATAAAATTAATTAAAAAGAAAATATTTAATTGAAATAAAGACAAACATGGAATTGTCAGCCCTTTAACTTTCAATATTAATAAGTAACCTCCTATTCAATATTAAATATAGTTACATGAATATTGTTAATTGAAAATCCTGCGTCTAGAATTTCTTGGGAATTCTAAGCATCGCCAACCTTTGAATTGTTTCTAATTCAATATATTTAGAACACAACCCAATGAATAAGGTGTCAATGGTAATTTTTTTATTCTCTCAAATAAATTGCTAAATGATTCATCCATTGTAGAAACCGAAAAGTCATATTTGTCATCTCATTGTTGTGATGTTGTTTCTTCTTTACTAATGACGTTATAACACTATTCATCCTTATATAGTTAGGCAATGTCAAAGCATTGCAAACTTTCAAGCATTTAATTTGTTTATATCATATTGTTTGATATTTAAAAGAAGAAGCAAAGTTTGGGGTCTACGGCAAGGCAGGGTTTCTCTGCTAAAGTAAGTAACTGGTTCATGTAACGTTTTCATCTTCTTTTTCCTTTTTTCTTTGTTTGGTGTATAATTTATGGACTGTATATGTAAAAGTTTCCGAGTCTATGTTAATTTGGATCACTCATAAATATAGTAGCAATTATGGTAGTATAATTATTCATTGAGTGTTACCTGGATAAATTATAATTTTAGTTTTTTTTTTTAATTTGGTTCTCAATTTCTATGTATGTATTCATACTGACATTTCGGAATGAAAGATTAGCTGATGATGTTTCACGTATGGCTATGTGAGCAAGATTTCGCTCTCGATTATTAATCAAAATTGGATTTTTAATAGAAGTTAGATTCTAGAGAAATATCTTGTTTTTAAGGGGCTAAACATTTGAATTAAGTAGGAGCTTCTCTAACAAAACCAACAAAGAAAGAACAAAAAGGAGTTTTAAACAAAATACATCCTTTCCTGTCAGAAAATGAACGATATGTGTCCAATTTCTTTCTTAAATAATTTTCAATGCATTTTTTGGCATTTGATAAAATTCATGGTTAAATAATTTCTAAAATATATTTTATCACTTCAATAACTATATATTATAGTATAAAAGGGATATTTTATGTTTTCTACAAAAGTTATGATAATGATAAAGCAAACCGAATGATAGGAACATATACCAACATTAAATGTTTGTATATCATCAAATAAAACTAATGTAATTATACATAAATTAATCAGTGTTCTAGTGGTAACTTCTCGTAAAGTTTAATTTATAATTCTGTTTCCAACAAAAGCTACTATTTATAATATACTTGTGATCACAATTATTTCGATACATATTTTGTGAAAATTGATACACATGTCTGGAGACTAGTAAAAGAAAAATTGGCAGCCAAATGTACATTCGTATATAATTTAATGCATGGAATTCTTTCCAATTAGCTTTTATTGATGTTGACAACTATTCTAAAATTTCTTGATAAGTAAATGGAAACAAGATAAAGCAACTAACTGCTAAGACTAAGAAACCTAAATCCTGTGATGATTGTTCAGTGTATGAATTTCTTTTTAATTGATAAGTGATGCATGTTCACTATGATGGCAGCAAAACTCATAATCCAAGCTAGTTATCGGTCCAAAACTGTTCATTATTTTTTATGTGCTTGTGTATAATGTAGCTTCTTTATTGTGCTTATGCATGAAATTATTACCTGCTCTGTAGTAAGCTCAGCATTCTCCATTGGCATTTTGACTATGCTCTTCAAATCTGAAATCCTTTAGCCTCTGACAGATTGAATTGTTTTACCTCTACCCTGTATAGATTCCAAAGAAATACCTCAAAACCTGATTATAGGTTCCACACGTTTAAAGGATGCAACTGGAAACAGGATACATTAATGTTTTCCTACGAAGAAAAATGAATATTGCTACAGATATGAAAAATGAAGCTGAAAAGATAACACCAAATTAAACTTTACTGTCAATAAATTAATGTCATCAATCTATCTTTTTTCAAGCCAATTGTGAGAAGGGAATTACTTGTAATTTGGACATTTGATCTAATACAATTCTAACCTATCAAAAGGCGGTTAACGGTACATGAAACAAAACATGACTCAAATTCACTATGATGTAACTGACTTCAATTGGTTCCACCTAGGGCTGAAATTGAAGATTCGGGTGACTGAAGCTGAAGCATCTACTTTCAAAATAACAGAAAGAAAATCAGTGATACCTATTACCATTTTCAAAAAAAACAAAGAAAGAAAAGCAATGATAGCACGTGGTAGATTCAAAGCAGAAAAGAGGATTCCTCACTTCTTGCTCTCATTCAAAACCAGACATGAGACTTTCATCTCACATGGCTTCTAAGTGATAAAAGAAAGAACCCATTACTTGGTGTTTTGATCACCTTTCTCGCGTATGTATTAGACCGAATCCGATTTTTGATAATGATTACTAATCCTTTAACTTTGAGGAATGAATGACTGATTTTATTTTGATAGTTTAGACCCATCGCTCTCTATCGAGTCCATAAAGTCCACATTACCAAAGTAATGACCAAATCTACCTCATTAGACTTGAAACTGGCTTGCACCAGCTTCATTACAGTTTTTAGGCAGTACTTTAAGTAGCAACTGCCAAAGTAAATCAACCAAATACTTGAGGATCAATTCGAGCAGAAGTGTCTCCCTATTCCCTAATGTGGTAAAAGATATAATAATAGAACGGTTATCTCATCTACAAAGTTAAAAAATAGAATACAATGGAAGAAAAGATCCATCAACAAGATACCAACTAATCACTCCGTTTCAACTTAAGTGTCTTAATTTCCATTTCAGTCTATTCCAAAAAGAATGCAAGGGCAATGATAGCCCGGTGCACTAAGCTCCCGCAATGCGCGGGTTCAGGGAAAGGGCCGGGCTACAAGGGTCTACTGTATGCTGTCTTACCCTATATTTCTCCAAGGGATTGTTTCAACGGCTCGAACCCGTGCATCAACTTACCAGTTACGCCAAGACTCCCCTTCTATTTAAAAAAGAATGCATCTTTCTATATTTAGTAAGTCTCCAATTCCAATACCCTACATGGCTTGTTTAAGACCACAAGATTCAAAGGGCATATTGGTACATTACACAAATCTCTAGTTTTAGGCTACAAAATTCAAAAGTCTCTCATATTTTCTTAAATTTTGTGCCTAGTCAAACTAAGACACTTAAATTAAAACGGAGGGAGTAGTTATGATTAAGATAGACAATTCAGCAACTGAAAGGCTTGTCTTCATCTTCTGTTCTTTTGGAGTAAATGTGATGCTGTAAGCAATGTATAAGAAAAGTTAGACTAATTGAGTTCCATACATCGTTAAAGGGCTTCTCTAAATTTCTACTATTTCTTTCCTTCCTTCCTTCCTGATCCAATGGTCTATCGGAAACAACTTTTCTATCTTTCCATGAGGGGTAAGGTCTGCGTACCCACTACCCTCCCCGGAATCCACTTGTGAAACTTCACTGGGTTTGTTGTTGTTATCTCCTTGTAGAAAACACTACGTTGGTGCTTTTATAAATAAAATACATTAACTTCTCTCCCAACAAAAGAACCTAAAAGTGATAACGCACGGCATTCCAGATTGACAGTGCACAAATCAAAAAAGTTCAAGCAGAAAATTTCTGATTCAATCATGGAGATCGTCACAGAAGTTTGAGGAACGGCTAAATATGTAAGGTTAAAGCTTAGATAAACACCACAAGATTACACAGCGACCAAGAAGGTTGACCCGAAAATCTCATTGCTACAGGTTTCAACATTCATCTCACTACTTAGTGAATAAGTAAAAGTCAACATCACTGATCCAACAAACTCAGAAAAGCATAACAATCACTGATTCAATCACTTCAAATCATGACATTCTCCACTAACTAACTTTCAAGCAAATTAAGTTCACTACTTCAAGATTCAAACTTTATTCCCATAAACAATCACCAAATAAAGAATAAGCAAATACCCAATTCCCCCACCCAAAAATCTAAGATCCAAGACTATAATAGTCAATCAAACAAAACCCCCGGAAAATTCTGCCAATTGGGGTAAGCAATACATACATTAACAAACACCATTATCAAATCACGGCTAGATTTAAACTTTATTCCCATAAACATTGATTAAAACCCAGAATAAGCAATTCCTATGAAAATCCAAGATCCAAAACTAGAATTGTTAATTAAAACATAAACCCAGAAAATTTTTGTCCATTTGGAAGAGATTTACACTGAAATTAACAGAGAAGATAGATTGGAGATACTATTACCGTATCACGTGGAAGTGGACAGTGTAGGAGATGAATTTGATTAGAACAGGAAAAGGTGATGTCAGTATAAGGGTGTGCACGTAGGCTTCAAATCTTGAGTTTGGGGGGTGGGGGGGGGTGAGATCAAAATAGAGGAAAGAGGAGGACCATAGAAAAAGGGAATTATAAAAGGGAAGTAAGAGGCAATCAAGCAATTTCTAGTTTAATTTTCACGTGTAATGTAGTGACAGAGAGGAAAAGAAAAGAACATTGACAAAAATGGTCCATTATTTTTGGAATAATACATAATTGGACCCTCAAACTTGGCATCAGCTGGCATATATGCCCTTCAACTTTGGACGTACATAAATAGGCACCTTAACTTGTATAAAGTTACGTAAACACACATGCTAACGTGGCACATAAATTTTGGAGGTGCCTAGATGATCATTTTGTAAGTTGGAGTGCCCAACTGACAAAGTGAAGACAAGTTGAGCTGCTTACTTGTGCACACCTAAAATTAGAGGGCACATTTGTCAGCTAAGACTAAGTTTGAGGGCATGTTTATGTATTATGCCTTCTTTTAAAGTAGGTGTAAAATAGACCGCAAATTTTAAAAGTGAATATTTCTTGCCTCCTTTGAATAAATTTTTGATATTCTGGTTGAATGGGAGCCTTGGAGTAATGGTAAAGTCGTTTTCATGTGACATATAGGTCACGAATTCGAATCGTAGAATCAGTCACTAATACTTGTATTAGAGTAAGCTACCTCCATCATACTCTTAGAGTGCGACCTTTCCCATACCCTACGGATCGCGGGATATTTTATGAATCGAGATACCATTTAGATTTATAGGAAGTAAAAAAGTGATTTAACTAGAAATACAAGAAAGATCTTGTCAAATTTTAGAAACTGCAACATGCTAGAAGTAGACCACAATAGATATTGCACTTTAAAAAATTATACCATACTTAAAAAAAAGACTAAAAATAGCATAAATAATAAAAACTACACTTCAAGTGTGAGTTCTCATTAAATTATTATTTTTTATTTAAATTTATTTGCACAAGCTTTCACTTATCGTGAGTGGTGGGAGTTTGACATTGAATCCTACCCAGTGTTTCCATTAAATTATTTTTATTTTTACGGTTCTCATTAAATTTAATAATCGGAGTTTGTAAAATATTTAACGAAAATCAAAAGTGCATTATATTTAACAAATTTAAAGGATTAAATTTATTCATGGATATATTTAAGAAAAATCAAAAGTGCTTTATATTTAGCAAATTTAAAGGATTAAATTTATTCATGAATATATTTAAGAATTATTTTAAACCTACAGCAAAAACATAAAGGACCATTTTTCTTATTCCCCTTATGGCAATTTCAAATACTTTGCCCCTATTTTCCGAATTCCTTTTGTTCCATTATTGGATTTGAAGTTATATTAAGTTTTTAGTCCCTGTTATAAGATGGAAATTTCAATTTTGATACCAATGACTGTGGCATGAACATGAGAATATGTGACATGGTTATCTCATGTGACAGCCTAATTAAACAACATTACTTAGGTTGCTTGTTGTTACGTGAGATTAATCGATCGATTAAAAAATAAAATTTTCAAATCAATTAAACTGAGTTCAAGTTTTCAATTAATTTGGATTATTGTTTCATCGATTTTTCGAGCTTTCACTATAACCTCAAGAAAAAACATCGACTGACATGGTAGTTCTTTTCCAAGTCATGTCTCAAAGATCTTGGTGAATGTACTTTCTTACTAATGAACGTAAATATACTCGCTATTTTCTCCTAGAGTTATATGTAAACTAGTTTTAGTGTATGCGCGTTGCGCGTGTTCCCTATCTTAGTAAGTAATTTTTGGTAAGAAAATTAAATATATATTTTTAAATTATAAAATAAAGTGTAAGCTTCCGTAGTTAATTAAATACTAATCCTATATAACTAACTCAATAAAGAAAAAATTTTGTTCATAGAAGTTCTCAATCATTATCAATATATTCACTTTAAATTATGTTTTATTTTTTTTAGTTTTATCAGTTCAAATTTACCAGTTATTATACTTCCTTTTTAGTTTCAGTAAAAACACATAGCCTTGAAGATTTAAAACTTTTTCTAAAAATATTATTCAAAAGCTATTCTTAAGTTCATGCGAGAAGATACAAACATGTTTAATTAGCACTTTTATTACGATTCTTTAAAAAAAAATCATATAACATAAATTTAAAAATTAAATCTTATGTCTCAATTTATCTCCTTTCAAAGGTTTCAATATTACCTAAGTAGTAAGGTTTTAGTTGCTGAGATGAAAAAAATATCATAATTTACATAACTTTGTCGAAACGTGCGTAGCAAAGAAAGCATTACTAAAACATAAAAATCTAATAGGATGCACAAATACTATAAAACATTATTGAAATTTAATGCGTGTGCATGTACATATTAATTTAAACATTTTATTTTTAATATATAATCTATTTTAAAGTTCTAAATATTTATACTTCCTATATAGTTTAAATAAAAAAAGATTCAATAAGTAAAAATTTAATTGATTTTAAAGTTTGAAATATTAGAAAAATATTTAAATTATATTAGTATTCAATGTGAAATTTATTTTTAAAGAATAAAAAGTCAATTATCATTTTCTATAGAGGTTTCGTGCTTTTATAATATAGATTAGCTTTTACGGTTTAGTATGATTAAAATATGCATCAAATAATTATTTTGGTTGCTTAATTGAATATGGATTAATTATATTATATGACTAAAATAAGAATATTTAAAGTGCACATTTAATTGATCCATGTTAAAACAATTTTAATGTGGATGCTATTGTATTAAAAAACATTAACTTAATATGCGATTTCATGTCCTCATATTTCAATTAAATTAGAATTCAATTCAAAGCACCGTATAAATGTTCTCATCTATTTTCAATTAGTATAATATATATAAGGTAAAATATATATGTATTTTCTTCTTACCTAATTTAATAAAGAAAGATAAGTTTTAATTGATTTTAATATCCGAAATATTAGGAAAGCACTTGAGTTACAATTTTATCCATTATGAAAGGTATTTTAGAAGGGTAAAAAAGGCGAACGACATTTCGCTAAGGATTTTTGTATTTTTAATATAGTATAGATAATAAAATCAAATAAAATAATTAAAATTCACGCCTATCATAACGAGTAGTAGTTGCAGTGGTACTTCGTTAACTTACTTTAAATAATGAATCTACCAACATCGTTTTCTTTTCCTTTTGTAATAAAACTATAAATTAACCCCAAGTGATACTAATATTTTATATGATATTGTTTCTTTTACGTTTGTCTATACACTGAAAGAAAAAATGGATTTCTGTCACAATTTCTAAAAGCAGAATTAGCCTTGTTACAGAGGCCAAAAATTTAGAAGTTCAAAGGGTAACAATATGCATAAAGTAGTTGAGCTTTTAACACGTGCAATTTCCAAAAGCTACTCCATTAAGGAGAGGAAAAGTGTAAAAATATTCATAAGGTAGTTTCAATATTAAGTACAAGTACGTCATTATTGTAAAAAGTTGAGCTTTTAACATGTCAAATTACAACTGCATATAACCAGATGTCACATGTATAAAAGTTGAGATGTCACATGTATAAAACTGAGAAAATGTTGTTTTGCATGGAGAAATTAATCCTTCTTTTCAAAGAAAAAGGATAATTTTATCGTCCAGCTTCATAGGGGTGCACGATATATGATTTAAAACTATCAAGATGCTATGGCAATATGCAAATGGGCTGGATACCCTGATCTTTTCATTACCTTTACTTACAATCCAAAGTGACCTGAGATTTGTAGATTTGTAAAGAGTAGGGGCTTAAATCCTGAGGATCGCCCAGACATTTTATCTAGAGTATTCAAAATCAAATTGGACCGTTTGATAAAGGATTTACGCGACAATCAGATTTTTAGAAAAGTAAAAGCAGGTATATTGCCATAGTCAACTTCTAAAAAATAATAATTACTTTTTATGTTACATAGGATAATAGGTTTAAAAATAAATATTTCAATTATATTTATGAAGTGTAATAAATTCTTTTTGGTGCAGTGATTTATACAGTTGAGTTCCAAAAACAAGGGTTGTCACATGCTCACATCTTGCTTTTTCTTCACGGGCATGATAAATATCCAACTGCTGCAGATATTAATCGAATCATTTCTGCTGAAATACCATATGAATTGGCCGATCTTGTTTATTATAAGGCCGTGCATAATTTTATGATGCATGGCCCATGTGATTATGCAAGAAAGTCTTCTCCTTGCATGCAGAACGGAAGATGTACCAAACATTTTCCAAAAAGGTTTGTTGAGTCAACAACAATTGATGAGGAGGGTTATCCTGTTTATAGACGAAGGGATAATGATAGAATTATCAAAAAGGATGGTATTGACTTGGATAGTAGGTATGTGGTGCCTCACAATCGGTTCTTATTATTTAAGTATGGTGCTCATATTAATGTAGAATGGTGCAATCAGTCAAGATCCATTAAGTACTTATTTAAGTATATTAACAAAGGAAATGATCGTATTACCGCTGCTTTTTCTCAAAGTGTGCAAGAGGAAGATTCATCAAATAGTGATGAAATAAATATGTATATGATTTATCACCATGTGAAGCTGCTTGGAGAATATTCAAATTTCCAATTCACCATAGAGAACCTCCTGTAGAAAGACTATCATTTCATCTTCCAAATGAACAAAATGTTATATTCTCCGATGATGATCCAATTGATGATGTTGCAAATAGACCAAGTGTAAAGGAATCAATGTTTTTAAGCTGGTTTGAGACAAATAAAACATTGTCAGAAGCAAGAGAATTGACTTATGCAGAATTCTCTCTTAAGTTTGTTTGGAAGAAACAATTGAAAAGATGGGAGAAAAGAAGAACTTCTGTATTTTCCATTGGAAGAATTTTCTTTGTTCCGCCTGGAACTGGTGAATTATATTATCTCATATTATTGTTGAATGTTATTAAAGGTCCAAAATCCTATGACGATCTTAAAAGAATCAACAATCATAACCATCTCACTTTTAGAGATGCATATTATGCACTTGGGTTATTGGATGATGATAAAGAGTATGTGGATGCCATAAAGGAAGCAAGTAACTAGGGAATGCCATCATATCTTAGGCAATTATTTGTTATGTTGTTGTTATCCAATTCGATGTCTCGGCCAGAATATGTTTGGAAATCAACATGGCAATTATTATCAGAAGATATCCTCCATGAAAAAAGAGTGTTGTTGACTAATCCAGGTATAAATATAGATTTTCTATTTTCAAGTTAACAAATAATGTTTCAGCGTCTATATGAGGATATTAAGTAGTTATTTGTAGCATAATAACTAAATATAATTATAGAAAGGATAAGAGGATAAAAAATTACATGCATATATATCCTTATAGTTATTATAGTGTACATGTGAGTATATAACCAGTCTAGCTCCAAGCATATTTATAGGGTTAACATATTGAGTCTTTAATAACTCCACGACTAAATTTTGCACAAAATTTAAAACAAAATCTGCAAATTTTGAACAAAAATATAAACTCCTATATGAAACTCTTTGTATTTGATTTCTTTACTTCATTCTTTATAATTGATATTCTTTAATTTATGACCTTTATATTTAAGATAATATGGAGTTTCACGACATAGCATTCATAAGTTCTTTGTTGTGTAAATCATATAAGCAACTAACCTAACTAAAAAGCTAAATTAAATATACCTTATTTGTGTAACCATGTAATATATTTTTTATATTATTGTTATTTAAATTCTATAATTTTTTTTGTTCTTTCAGAGGCAAAGCTAACAGATGATGAATTGAAAAATCGTTGTTTACAAAAGTTGGAAAAAGTTTTGAAAAGTTGTGGAAGAAATTTTCATGATTTTCCAACAATGCCAAGACCTCTTTACAATGAGGAAGAAGTTGACAAATCCATTTTGTTCATGTTATAATTCAGGCGAAATTGCTGAAAACTGTCAGGCAAAGTCTGCAGGATCATTTCAACCTGCGTGTCCTTATCAATGTTAGCTCCAAGGACCTCCAGTTCATTCAGAAGACTCATCATCTTCAGAACATGGTCCCTGACCGATGAACCTTCAACCATTTTGGTATTCAGAAGGGCTTTCATGGCAGTCTGCTTAGCCGCACGATTCTGATCTCCGAACATTTCTTTGAGATTTTCCAGAATGTCATAAGCAGACTCCATCGACTGATGCTGATGTTGTAGAACATTCGACATGAATGCCAAAATGTAACACCGCGCCATCTCATCAGCCTTAATCCATTTCTGGTAAGCCTTCTGTTCATCATCTGTGGCATCATCTCCAGGTTTTTCTGGACACACCTCATCGAGCACAAATTTGTACTCTTCAGCAATTAGAACAATATCCAAATTTCGTTTCCAATCAACATAATTTGGACCCTCAAGTTTGTTTTGGGTAAGAATGGCAGTAAGGGGATTAAAAGCAGTCATTGTTAATCTGGGAGACATTAAATATTTAAATAGATCAAATCAGTTTGTATTATGAACATTAAAATTCAAAACACATTATATATATACAATTTATGCACCTTGAACAACAAATTTCGATGGAAAAGAAGCTATTCTTGCAATATACATATATAATGACAGATTTTCACTCCATAAACTTAAACATGTCATACTCAGATGGAGAGTAAACTGTTAATTTAAGCCAAGTGAATATCAACATTCAACATATATTAGTCCCATTGAACCAACATGCATACTCAGATGGAGAGTAAATACAAATAATCACTGACTAGTATAACATAATGATTATTCATAATATTTTTATCCGATATGGAAGAAGACCTACGTCAACGTGTAAAAACATTATATCACTGATTTTTTAAGCCCGGGGACCAAGGGAATTTATCCCCACAATTTCTGGAATTAAAAACAACTAAAAAAATTCAGAATTTTAGAAAAACAGCAAAAACACCATCTAAACGACCTCGAACGCCCAAAAAACGACTTCAATCATGATAAAATCCATGAGTATTGCTCACTGGGCCGTTTCGCATGGACCTACCAAGTTTCAGGTCAATCGGAGTCCGTCAACTTTTTTACCTCCGATTTTCTGCCCTAATTCAGCAGAACGTGTTTTTCCGTTTTACATGATAAAATTCAA